ATTTGATCAAATCAAATCAAATATAAATTTGAATTTGTATTTGATTTTATTTTCAAATCAATTATTCAAATATCAAATCGAATTGCGAAACCCTACTAATGATACTATAAAACTTGAGCGGGTGTATTTCAAGCCATTGGTAAAATATAATCATCCAATAGGTGTTGATAAATCACAGCTACTAAAGAGTACTACTATCTGATTTTTACTTGCCTCTGAAGAGTGAGAAAATGTTCCTTTTGAACGATACAGAATAACTGATCTAATATGATCTTCTAGCCTACATAAAATCTGAAGAATTGTTGTTGGAAAGAATTCTCTGATACCTGTTTTATATTATTTAGATGATTCAGAACCTCAACGTTTCTTTGTAAGAGAATAATTAATGCATATTAAAGAAAAGCCAATACTTCTTCTTAATGAATATTGAAAGATAACTGAATGCATACAAGGCACTTTTTATAAAAGTTTCTATGTCTATAACGCAATAGGGAATTGTAATAAGGATTACTCATTCCCAATAATATAATGCTTTCTTTTCTCAATCATGCTGAATTTGCGTATCTATATTCATCTGCCCTTCTGGATAAAAAAAAGGTACAATTTGGTAATGTTGGTTACCATTATATTTGAAGGCCAACCCTAATTCTTCATTGTATCTATCTAGGTGTAAACCTTCTAAAAATTTAGGTTTTTGGAGTGGGAATTTTTTATTTAATAAATCTTCGAATATATACTGACATGTTCTTTCTGGTACATTAGGACAAATATTACATCATCTATGATTCTGTTTCATATATTTATATGATGCATCCTATTGATGGCCCTTTTTACATATCCATAAATAAATGTTAGAATTATTACTAACTCTAGTTAATCACCTTCCTTCACTTTTCTGGGTATAGGCTAAAGCATTGGTATTAGTTCTGTTATGATATTGCATTTTATAAGCACAGAAGAATCGATCTGAACAATTGCAAATCCAGATGCTAGTTCAGAAGTAGAATTAAATTTGACTACTAATATTGCATAAGCAAAAAAAATAAATATCTCCAGTACTTTTAGCAGAAGTGAGATCGGGCTTCTGTCTCGCATTAATATCCAGAATCAGGCAAAGAGGCAGGTTACCATCAATACATTCATGAGCATCAGGCATTCCATAAATTTCAGATAGATGATCAATAACTGTACCTTTTCCAGATACTCAAATGATATATTTATCAAAAATCTCTTTAGGATGATAAGCGCCTAAAAGAGCGATATCATCTTTACTATTAATTTTTAATAAATGATGAAAATATGTATGATCATTATAATCTAGCTCAAAATCAAGATCTGTTACATATAAGAAGAACCTTATTGCTTTATTTATTTCTATGGGATTGGGTTTAAATTTTTTTGCACAATAGATTCTGATATCATGGGTATTGAAATAAACAAGTATAAATTTATACAGAAAATACAAATTTTAAAATAAATTTATTAATAATCAATGTAAAGATATCCTGAAGTAGTAACTATACAGAAATGCGGTCTAGAAGGCAAAACATGCAAAATATTGGCCAGATGAGTAGAATTATATATAGAAAAGAGAGAATAAATTTTACACATCTGGATTACTAATTCAGCATTTTGTGTCTCATTCATAGCAATCAAACAGGTTATAAAAAGCAGATTGCATATCTGAGTCACCAAGTTGGTACTTTATATCTTATTCAGCAATCAAAAAATAGTAATTAAGAAAGAAGCAATTATATGAGAGTGTTCTGAAACCAGAACAGTATCACGTGATTATAACGCAGTAAGATGTAATATTAGTTCACTTATTTTCAGCCAACACCATTTTATTAATTTGGCCAAAAGCTTAGATATAATAATTCAGCATCTAAGCTAGCATAAAACTGGTAAACTAATAGAACTTCTCTAGCATCTTGCCAGTTTAATGACAGTTTCAGGAGAATTCCATGACACTACCAGGACGCTATCACAATGCTATCATGACACCAAATTGGATCTTCAAATCACATGCTCAAAATATCAGCCAGAGTTTTACTATAGAGCTGATAAAAATTAATCGCAAATCCACTGCATTATCTGACGCATTTTTTTATCACAATTTGTCATTTTAACAGGTAATCAAACAGGCATAAAAGGTAAATTCATTAATAAAGAATCGAAAATCTATTTAGACATAGAAGGCCAGCACCCTCGATATAAAACCAAATATCCAAATACTTATGGAAAGCCAACGATCCCAAAATAGTATTTGATATCCATTCAGACATAAGAGATCAATACTAATCGGATAGTTATAAGACAATAAGAAGGCTACAAAGCAATGAAAATAAGCGGATAGCTACAGAGTAATAAAAAGACCACAGAGTACTAAAACAGTAATGAGATAATAGTCTAATGATAATTAAGTAACAGTCTAATAGCAACTAGGTAACAATCTAATGCAATTGGATTACATTCTTATAAGAGTGTAATCCAGTATAGTCATTTCAATCAACTTTCTCAAATTTTCATATATAAAATCTATTTTCCATAATTACAATCTACTTATAGTCACTATTTATAGATGCTTTCTAAAATTTTTTCAAAATAATTTCGTTGTACTCCTTACTATATTTTTAATATAATTTTAGCTAATTTCAAGTTTTAAGGTTTTGTTGTGTTTCTCACTATATTTTAATATAATATTGACTGTATTTCTTAAATGGTAATGATTTTCATTCAAATTTAGTCATGATTTTCAATCAATTATTATGCAAAATTCTACATAAAAACTAAAAACTTAAAATTTTTTAATTTTTAGTTAAAATATGGTATAAAATTTATTATAAATCTATTATTTTTAAATATAATTTTATTTTTAATAATTAAAATATTAAATATATACAAAATTTTCAATTTTAAATTTATGATTTTTTTATAAATAAATAATATTTAAATATATAAATAAATGTTTCAAATATAAATTTATATATTTTGTAAAGTTTTTTTAATATTATAAAAATAAATAAAAATTAAAAATTTTAGTTTTTATAAAGAAAATACTTTTATTAAAATATTTTTAAAATTTTGAACTTAAATTAATGCAAAAAATTACTAATTAATGTATTTTTTTTTTTGATTTATTTAAAAAATATTATAAATTTTATTATAATAATATTATTAATTTATAACTAATCTTAAATATATTTAAAATTAACTTTAAAGTGTGAGTAAAATTCCTTCTAATTTTGGAAGGAAAACCATTGAAGGTATACTATACTTTTTTGGGATTGTCTCTTATTTATATTATTATTACATTTTTTTTGAAAATCTTATATTAAAAAAGTATTTTTTTTTAATCACATAATCACATAAAATAATCATGTAAAATTTAATATCTAAATAATTTAAATTATTAATTTAGAATATTTAAAAGAGGTTTGATGTATTTTTTCACTCCTTTTTAAATATGTAGTCTCAAAAAAAACTTGTATTTTTTAATATAAAGAAATTTGTATTTATACTTACTTGTAATAATCCTATAAAAAACCAAAATAAAATATCTTTTTTTTTTTAATTTAAAGTAAACTTTAAATATAGACTAGTCAATAATTTTCAAAATATTAAAAAAGAAAGAAATATATTTAGCATTAAAAGATAATAATATTTATTCTTCTTTTAAATGTTCACATTAAATTAAAATTCTATTGCTTTAAAATTTAGATTAGTAAGACTTTTAATAATCACATGTTTATTTCAAATGTAATTTAAAAGAAAAAGTAAAGTTTTTTGCATGAAATTTAAATGAGAATAATTTAATTTTCTCAAATAGTTGGCTTATATAATTTAAGAAAAAAAATAGCCTTTGATATCATAAACTTTATAAAGAATCAGCAAGTATTCCATTAGAAACATTATCTCAAAAATGAGAAAGACTCTAACATATTTTACAATAATATAATTTGGATGACATTTATAATACTGATAAAATTGGATTATTCTTTCATATATCATTGAATGAAACTTTTGCACAAGGATTTATTAATACATATTATAATCATTATAAATAATTTAAAAAAAGTGAGGCTTTTTTTTTAAATAATAATTTATTTATTTATGGGATGAAATTAGAGTAACTGTGAGGTTAGTATCAAATGTATTTGAAAATCATAAGCTAAAATTATTAGTAATTAACAAATCTTTAAAATCATAAGCTTTTAATAGTATTCAAGTTTCTCAACTTCCAGTTATATATAAGGCAAATCAAAAGACATAGATAAGAAATGATATTTTTAATGTATAGATTAATGAATTATATCATAAATTTTATATCCAAAAATAGAATGTAGTTTTAATTATTAACAATACTTCATTACATAAATTTGTTATTTCATCTAATGAAAATGAAGATAAAGAGAAACATGATATAGTGTTTAGATCTGTGAATCCACAATCTGTGTATCCATATAGATAACAGATTGCAGATACTCATTTTATTACTTCAGATAGTATCCATGGATAAATAATTTGTATGGATAATCTGTGAATAATCCACAGATAATCCGCGGATAACATATATCTATGGATAATTAGATATGCAGATAATTCAGTTAGCATTTATAGATTTACCTAATCAGGCCAATAAATAATTCATTCCTACTATTGTCCAATTCTATTTTGTTTCAACTCTATCACTATCCACTGGCCTACTTTTAATATTTTGGGATCTATCATGGTTTAAATTATAAAATCATAGTCGCTGTTGTAATAAAGACAAATAATCTTTTTCTTTGGGTGCATACCGAACTGATCAAATAGTGGAATAGGCGGGTGAATGGTTAGTTTTCATATTATATTTAGGAATTTGCCTCGAATTCATCTGATTGTTGTGACTCAAGCTTCTCTTCTTCAACTCATATAAGCAATACTGACAAAAAAAAAGGTACAAATCAATTGAGGTTTTTACGCAAATTATAATAAGTTTAGCTAAGTATTTATTTATTATGAAGCAACGTGCTGCAGATGACCGATACAGCTGGTTGCAAGAAGTTCGTGATTTAGATGGAAATCCTGAAGGTATCATTTTCATATATCGAAAAGTATTATAACTCTTAGGGGTTCCTAATCAAAAATTTTTTTCAAAAATTTTTTTTTGGTTTATCTCCTGTTACGTTTGCAAAAAAAATTCACACTATTAACTTAATATCTTAAAGATGCAACAGCACTTCTAGCACGAAAACCCACAAATTTCTAATACTAATGCACCAATGATTCATATGACACAAAATACGTTAACTCCTCAAATTATAACAACATGCAGTACAAATTTCACAAGTCATGTTTTTACTAATAATACAATCTCTACACAATAACAACAACAACAACAGTAACAATATTGTTCAGGACCATATTCCTCAATTGTCGTGAGTTTTGCTACCTGGATGCAGCCAACCGAAGCTGAAATTGGTAATGCAACATCAGAAATAATTGTAACGCTAGTGATAAGAATGAAAGTTTTAACAACAAATCCTCAAATTTCAGAAATTGTAAATACCTTTGCACACTCTTCTATAGCTATTCTACCTGCTTCGCAGTCTTACAACAACTCATCCAACACGTTCGCCATATCTGTAGTCATCATATTTGCTCTTTTAACACCTGACCCACACACCGAAAACCTCTTGGAAACCTTAACAATTGAACAACTGTCAATGATCGAAAGGACTGTATAACGTGTTAAGAGAAAGAAAGTTAAAGAATCCAAAAAGTAAAACCCTTTGGATAAAATTTCTAATGCTACCACTGACATCAATAGCCTTGTCATTAATATTAATATGCATAATTTGATTACACAAAACATGCCAATTTCAAATTCTACATCAATTTCACTGGTAACTTTTATTAACAAAGGTAATAACAATCATTACATATCTTCAAATTTTGTAACATCATCGTCATCACAGGATTACCTAATTATGACTCACGTACATTGTATATTCCTAAATCTTCTTGGAATAAGTTCACTTCATTTGAAAAACAATTCTAGGAAATAAAGTCTAAGCATTAGGATACCGTATGATATGAATTATGTCATTGATTCAATTTTATGTTAGGGTTAATTAACATTAATAACGTGCTTTATA